CACCGCTAGAGAGACAAAGACGGCCGAGCGTGCTGCTGGGCCACCCACCCCCTGCCGCCTTCGTAGGTGGCGCTCGCAAGCAGCGCCGGAGAGCCATCGGTGGGGGGGGGGGGGGGAAATCTTCGTAATCTTTTGCCGTCGTTGATGCAACTTCTGCGAGCCCGGGCTCGCTCGAGGGGCGCGGCTGGCGGGCTGGAGCAGGCGAGCGGCGGCGGCGGCGGCGCCAACCTCGGCAGAGGCGCGAGTTCGATTCCCCCACCTCGCGGCCACCAACACAGCACCGTCAGTCTTCTTCGTCTGCTTCCACCACGCGTTTGTCCCTTCTTCCCCTATCCCTTGCCAACCTTCTCCATGCCGCTGCCCTGTCCCTGCGCCATCTCTTTCAGCTCCACGTGGCGCCGCTACCGATCGCACCACGCACCCGCCCCCCCTCCCCCCGCACCACCTCTTCTTCCGACTTCCTCTTCACCTCTTTTCCTGTCCACTTGCACGTCACTTGCACCTTCCGAGACACGTAAATGTTCGCGTTGTCTCTCGACACGACCGAGCCACGCCCCCAGAGCCTTTTCTCTCTCAGCTCCTCCGTGACTTCTACCACCTTGAGTGGCCACCAGCAACACCGACACCGATAATAGCGAGGATCCGAACCGGGTCCCCTTGGCCCTCGACCCTCAGGGTCGGCACGGACTCAAACGAGTACCTGGTACTGGCGTTGTGCAGTCAACATCACCGCTGGGGGGAGACAAAGGGGGACGGGCGGGCGTAGTAATGCATACCACCCCACACCCCCCACCCCCCCTCGTGTGCCCCTTTCCGCCCCTTTACAAAGTGCTGCTGCTCGCTAACAGCACTTGCCCCAGCATACTGCTGAAGGCTATACGGGGGGGAGGGGGATCTTTGTCTTTGCTCGTTGACATACCTCTGGGTAGCTCGGGACCGCACCACGAGGGGTGTGGCTGGAGACCGAAACGGGCCGAGACTCGCACGGCACGTAACTTTGCACCAGGGTTAGGGAGGCCGGGAGCGGAGAGAGCGGAGAGAGCGGAGAGAGCGAGAGAGCAGGAACGCGACGGGAGAAAAACCGGGAATCGAATTCGGGTCGCCGGGTTCGTAGCGCAGTGTAGGGCAAGTGATGTTCGCGAGGGCTCGCCTAGACCAAGTTTCAAGAGCCGGGAAAGAACTCGAGAGACCTGGACGAGCGTGACCTGGGGCGGGCGGGCGGGCGGGCGGGGGGGCATTGTACGTAGAACTTCTTTCGCACCATACGTAGCCAACCGTGTCTAAATCAGAGGTGCGGAGGAAGGACAACAAACGAGTCTCTCAGTTGGGGGGGTGCGATGATTGTGGGGGTGGGTGGCCAACACCGCACCCCGGCCGCCTCCATCTCCACAGCATTATTGATATTTGCACACCGCACCAGGTAACGGTACTCAATTGGGGCCCTAGTCGATCTCTTGGGTGGGAGGAGGACCCAGGAGCGCATCTCATAATCACTCGCTCTCGACGCCGGCAGTCGCCCGCCACAGCTCCTCACGCCCCCTCCCCCGTTGAGACAAGACCCAACAGAAGCGCACTCGAGCGCCGGAAAGGGCTTCCGAATGCGTAATTACCGCCACCGCTATTATCATCATTATTGGACAAGCCGCGCCAAGTTGCAGTCACTTTTTTTTTTTATATATATCGGTTTGCAATTGCAGGCCTCCGAAGCAGGCCCCCCGCAATTAGTGGCAGGCAGCAGGCACAAGCCGACCGACCGCCAGCGAATCTTCACATTGCCTGCCGTCCCACGTTGCCTCGGGGGACACGTCGCACGTGGCGGGCTCAAGCGTGGGCGGGTACTTAAATCATAATAATTAACATTCGTCTGTAAAAGGCACCCTCCGCTAACGTCTCGAGTCGCCTTGCAAGATGAAGGATAAGAAAAGGCGGAGGAGGAGGAGGAGAAGGAGATGAATGCAATAAACGGACTTGAGAAGACGCGTTTTAAAGACGAGACTTAAAAAAGTAGCCATGTTAAAAATCGCATAACCGAATGTCCAACGGTAAACGACCTCCCACCTCTTCGGAGAAGTCTGCCGAGCGTGGAAGAGTAGGCCAAAAAACACCATTGACCCGGGGGGGGGGGGGGGAGCCCTGTGCAAGCGCACACTCTGGTGGTTGCCCTTCCTGTCCAGCAGTGGATAGACCGTGGCTCATTGCGGATGGCGATGGAACTAGTGGTGGTAGGGTGATGGAACCTTCATCCAGCAGCGGACAGACCGTGGCCCACAACGATGATCATGGCTGGCCTGAGAATAAGCCTTCATCGGGCAAGCAGTGGACAGACCACGGCTCGCGGGAGGGTGTTCTCGTTCTAGAGCGGCAATTGCACGGCCTGCGCCTTTATCACCTGGTGGGGGCTGATGGGGGGGGGGGGGGGCTCACGAGACGAGAGAGCGACTGCCGAGAGGCGGACGTGGGGTTCCAAATCAAAACTGGTTTGATGGCTTCATGGGCCACGTGCACTTCGAGCCCGCCCGGGCAGTCTCAGATCACTGCCTCTTCTCCGGTTTGCTTGTTTGTTTATATTACACACACACACGCGGTCTGACAGGGCGGCCCCCCCCCAAAAGAGCAGGACACATTTAGGGTCATTTAATATATTTTAGCACCGGCGTTAAAAAAAAAAAGTTTTAATTGTTTAGACCTTTGACCCTTTCCCGTGACGACACGCCCGCAAGATGCGGGGCGGGGGTCCCGTTCGAGGAGGTCCCGTCGAGGGGGGGTCCCGTCGCAGGGGGTCCCGTCACGGGGGGTCCCCTCGCGGGGGGTCCCATCGCGGGGGTCCCATCGCGGGGGTCCCGTTGCGGGGATCCCGTCGAGGGGGGTCCCGTCGCGGGGGGTCCCGTCGAGGGGGTCCCATCGCGGAGGGTCCCGTTCACCGATGAGTCTCAGAACGCGTGAGCGGCTCAGCGTCCATTTCGTTTAGAGGGGGCAACGGATGAGCATGGTTCTCCCCCCCCCCCCCCCCCACATTTAGAATCGACGTGCGTTCAGAGTATTTAGCGGCTATGAATTTCCATGTGATGACGATGATGACAAGCCACTTCAACCAGCGATCATTTCTGATTGCCAAGTCGCTTCTGAAAAAGAGCTACGTAGCTTAGCGGGCCTCAACTGCTAAAATAAAAAATTAGTTTAGTTCGAACCCAGCGCCTGCCCCGATTAATACTGCCGTGTGCACGGACCGCGCTCGCGAGTTTGGACTAAAAAGATCCCGCGTGACGTCGCTCGCAAAAGAGCGGGGGGGGGGGCATCGCGGTCCAAATAAAAAAAGATATATAATATAAACCAACTGAAAATGAACACCGCCCAAATTTACTCCGTTGGTAGACGACGTGGCAATCATCGATGCCCCTCCCGCCACTCCCCTCTCACTGCGGGAAAAACTTGGCAAGACCTCCATGCCCCCCCCCTCCAAACGTCTCTCTTCGCACTGTTAACAGCCGACCGTGCCCATCGGAGGTGTGCTGGAGGAGGGGGCCTTCATCCAGCAGTAGATATTTTATATATACCCACACACACACGTACACGGGCGAGTTGGATCCTCCACGAACGCCGCGACAAAATTTGACTTGGAAGTAATCTCATTAATAAAAAAAATACAAATGTTAAAAACCAAACCACGTTTCGCGAGGCTCGTTGAGGCCGGGTGAATACGCGGGAGCTCAACAGATGCAGCCCGCAGGCCCCGTTGTGTTGTTCCGTATCGGCTGCGTTTCCAGAAGCAATGAAGCCAGACCCCATTGCCTAAAAGCGAACGTAAATATGACGTCTGCCGTCCGATTTCCCTAACCCAGTTCCGCTAATCTGCGTCGCTTTGCCGTGTGTCTCTGCGTGCGAGTGTGTGTGTGTGCGTGTATGTCTTTGTGGGGAGCGGTAGTGTAGTGGTTAGCGCGCTGCGCTACGAACCCGGCTACCCGAGTTCGATTCCCGCTCAACGACCAACACCAGTGACGATTATCTGAACCGGGCATGGGCCTCCCCTAGGTCGACTCAGCCTCAAATGAGTACCTGGTGTGGTGTAAACATCGCCACTGGGGAGACACAAAGGCGGTCGGGCGTGATGCTGGCAACCCACTCCCTTGTGTGCTGTGCCGGCCTTCATAGGGTGCTCGCTAACAGCACTTGCCCCTACAGTCTGTTAAGGGGCCATCCATTTAGTACGTACGCATGGATGGGGGAGGGGGGGTTAACCAAAATGCGTACGCTTGCGTATGGGGGGTCTACTGACAATGGAAAGGAGGGAGGGTGAAGCCGATTAATCATTTGTCTACATTGGCCTTCAAATGAGTTAGAGAGTCCGGCGGTGGACTTTGTTTGCTTAAACACGTTAATATTATTAATCCTTGATCGTTTCTGCGTGGATTAAATATCGGCCATTCTATAGGATTCGGGGGGGGGGGGTGCGTCAAGCATACGTACGCAGATGGGTGGGGGGGGGGGATAAAAAGTACACGTGCGTACAGGGAGGGGGGGGGGGGGGAGGACGTCAAGCTGACGGATTTTTGCGTACCTACTAAATGGATGGCCCAAGGCTGAAACAGGGCATCTTTGATGTCTTTGTGCATGTTTGGGTATAGTAAATTGGCCGGGCGTGGTGCTGGCAACTGTTGTTGGTGAGCACCTTCATTCGGTGCTCACCAACAACACTTTCCCTGACGGTCTGTTGTAGGCCGTACGGTGGGGGGGGGGGGGGGGGGGGGGGGGGGGGGGCGGGGGGGGGGGGTGACCGTCTTTGTGTGGCACAGTGGGCAGCACAGGTGGTGCATCTGCCAGTCATATCGGCCGGTTCACCTGCAGCACCCAGGTCCGTCCCGTGACCTCCTGGCAGCGGCGAGCTTCGCACGCTCCGAGCTACAATTGCGCCTAGCCTGGGACGATATCAACCATCGCCTTCGTGCGAGGTCTCGCGACCCCCCCACAGCGACGACAACATCGACACTCGTCGCCACGGTTACCTTCCGCCGTAGCAGCTGTGGCTGCAAGTCGCCCCTCTCCTCCACCTCGCGCCGGATGTGGTTGAAAAGGCAGACGGGGAACTGGGCCCGGTAGTGATCGCCGAACGGGCCCAACACGCCATCCGTGCTCTCTGGAACAAGACGGCGATCGCGAGAACGACGTTAGAACGACGTTAGGACAAAAACGACGGTCTATCCACTGCCGGGTGGAGGCCTCCACCACAAGGTCACCACCACCACCATCATCATCATGATCATCATCATTCAGAGGGTCCGTCCACTGCTCGACGATGAACTCCCAAAGTCACCGCGATTGCGTCATCACTACTTCCGTAATCATCGAGAGCCATGGTCTATCAACTGCTGGATGAAGACCTCCACATGTCATCATTGAGCCACGGTCCAGCAAACGTTGAAGGCCTCCCCATCCCACCACCGTCAACGTCCACCATCGTCATCCTCAACACCGTGGAGCCAAAGTCTCTCTACTGCTGGATGGAGGCCCACCATGCAATCATCATCGTCGTCATCATCATCATCATCCATGATCACCGCGAGCCATGGTCTATTCACTGCTGGCGGAAGCACCACCACCAGAGTGAGCTCTACGCCAGGCCCCCTATCGGAGGGTATCTGACCCCCACACTTGACCCCACCACCACACGCGACCTGCCGATTGACCAACCGCGGCGAACCCCGTGGGGTGGACGGAGGTGGCGCTGGGAGAGGGCGAATTTATTAAACTTGACAACAGTATTGCGATAAACACGACTACTCGTGCATAACAACAAGGGGAATACTCTTTGGTTTTATTCGGTTAAGTCACGTAGGTAAAAAACAAATTAAAATGAAATAAAATAAATCTTTATTTTTACCTACGCGACTTAACCGAATAAAACCAAAGAGTATGCATTCTTGCAGTCACGAAAGCTTCAAATCTAGAATTGACAAGGGTAATATTGATCGTGGTCGAGATTAAGGACACAGAGTGGCAGCCAAAAGGAGGGAACATGCCCCAGAGGATGTCCATCGATGCCAAGCGTGTGCGTCTGTCTGTCCTGTGTCGAACTTTCGACGATGAGCCAGCCACCCTCCCCCGCAAGCCCCCCCCCCTCCAGTCATCGCCGCCCCCCTCCTCGCACCCCCCGCCGAGGTGAACTGGGATCATCCGCTCGGTGCGGCGCTAATCAGCTGCGGCAAAATCCTCCCAATCTTGCAAGGTGGCACACGGCTCGACTCCACCTCGGCCTAAAAGCCTAAAAATAGCGACGACGACTCCCGCTTCGAGTCTCCTCCCGCCCGCCTCCTCCTTCTTCTTCTTCTTAAAAACGTCTGACCGGCAGTGGAAGAGGAGGCCAACATACCCTGTTGGAGGAGAGCCACTCTCAGGAGCTCACCTCTTAAAAAAAAAAAACGGGACGCTCTTCCGCCAGGCGGTGTTGCGAGCGAGCAAATTGCAGGGCCTGCGCCTTTGTATTTCTTTCGGGCGCAACCTCACGGCGCAGTTGGCGCGTTTGCTTTTTGTTTTTCATCCCCTGCGGCAAAGCGCCGTCCCCTCCCCCCCTCTCCCCCCCCCCCCCCCATCCCGCTCCGAACTTTCTCGACCGCTGGTGCTAAATATTCATCGGCGTGGCTTGGTGGCCTGGCAGAGCCGGCGCGACGATGCCGTTTAGCCGTAGGCCGACCCACCCCGCCAACCACTGCCGCACCCCTAGCAGCAGCAGCAGCACATTCACGGTGCCCCGTCGGCCGACACGCTGGGAATTTCACATCGAGGCAGGGAGCAGAGCGTGGATCGATCCGCCCGCGCTCGGCAAACACATTTCTCCTGCACAGTATCCATTCCGCAGCCTACGCCCTCCCGTGCCACCACCCGCCAAACAGCCCCCCCCCCCACCAGCCCTCCCCTCAGCCCCGTCCCCCCCCCCCCCAGCCGCTTAGCTCAAGGCGCTTTGCATAGTTTAAAAGCGATAACAAAAGTAGTGATTCAGGGGCAGCGCAAGGGCCGAGGAATGCGCGACCGCAACAGGGGGCACAGCGGGGGGGGGGGGGGGGGGTCACGAGGGCTACAGGGGAGGGACGCCAAGGAGTGGAGGGGAGGGAAGAGGATGGGTGATGATGGAGAAGAGGTGAGGATTTAAGAAAGGAATTAAAGGAGGGGGACTGCTGAGTGCAGGGGCAGAGCTGGGTCTATGGGCAGTGCCGGGTCTATGGTGCAGTTTGAGTCTATGGGCAGTACCGGGTCTGGTCTATGGGCAGTGCCGGGTCTATGGGCAGCGCCGAGTCTATGGGCAGCGCCGAGTCTATGGGCAGCGCTGAGTCTATGGTGCAGTGCTGAGTCTATGGTGCAGTCCTGAGTCTATGGTGCAGTGCTGAGTCTATGGTGCAGTGCCGAGTCTATGGGCAGCGCCGAGTCTATGGGCAGCGCCGAGTCTATGGTGCAGCGCTGCTCAATGCACAGGGGAAGTTGATTCCAGTGGAGGGGTTGCGAGGAGGGTGAATGACCGAACACGGGGATTGGGGCACAGGGAACGAAGCTGCCGCGATCCGTCCGCCTGCTCCTGCACGAGGCGGCGAGTTCATCGCCCCACGATGTTTGCCAAGTATCTTCCGGAAGACGCCCCCCGCCCAACCACCCGCTCGCCCCACAACATCAAAGCGGCACATTCGTGGTCATCTTCCGGAAGACGGCCCTGCGTGGCAGTGCGTTACGTTCCAGAAGGAGTGCGCGTGCGTCTCGTGTTTTAATCCACTCATTGGGAATAACCCGTCCGGAAGATAATTTCTCCCCAAAACGTAGAGCCGCGTGTCCACAATCATCTTCTGACAAGAGGGCTCTCACCGCCACATTACCGTATTCTCCCAAGCAACGATTACATTTAAGAAAATACATTCAATGGCACTAAAGCATACCTGAATTAAAGCTTTTCGTGACTGCAGGGATTCATTTTCTTGGTTCTTTCGGTAAAGTCACGTCGAAGGGAAACAATAAAATAATAAAAATATAAAACAATAAAATTCTCACGTTTCGACTGCAACACAAGCAATCATCAGGTGTGAAAAACACCCCCCCCCCACACCCGATGACGATTGTTTGTGTTGCAGTCGAAACGTCGTGATAATTTCATTGTTTTATATTTTATTATTTTATTGTTTCCCTTCTACGTGACTTTACCGAAAGAACCAAGAATATAAAGTATACCTGTCAACCAGTAGGGTTTAGCCCGTATTGTTGTACAGGAAAATGAGTTCAGGCCCATACGACGTACAGCCTTCACAATACGGGCAATTTTTTAGTTTTTGTCTATTTGTTTGCGTTTCTCCCTTGTGATGGGACTTTGTAGGATGAATGCCAAGATTTATAAGTGCATGGGGTGACCGATAAGGTCCGACTGGTTTGTAATAAAGTAGGACACTGATAAGGGATTGACAGGTGTGTAGTAGTGTAGTGGATAGCGCCGTGTATAGTTTAGTGTATTTTATAGTGGAGTGTATGGTTTAGTGTAGTGTATAGGATGAACGTTGAGATGTACAAGGGCACGGGGTGACCAATAACTGGTCTGTGTAATAGGGTAGGGCACTGAAAAGGGGTTAACAGGAATGCTAAAGTTGCGGGCAAGTCTTAACCATCTGGAGATTCTTTAAATAAATAATAAATAGGTGTTTAAAACACGCTCTTTGTGCACCACCCACCCACGCGTCGCTCGAAGAAGACGCAATTGGGTCACACACAAAAATAATTCCATCCAAATAAAAGGCGATACGGGCACAGACGGGGCTAACCCATAACATTCGCAGAGCAGAGGAGCCAAAATAATCTGACGGCCATATCCTTCCCTTCCTGCCTCTCCCTGACCCCCCCGCCCTCCCACCGGCACTTACATGAAAACGTATATCCCCGAATATCCGACAAGACCGGATACTCATTTTTCAAGGCAGAGTCGACCTAGACGAGACCCAGGACCGGTTCAGATAATCGTCACCGGGTTGTTGGTGGCCGCGAGCGGGAATCGCACCTCGGGTGGCCGGGTTCGTAGCGCAGTGTGCGCTACGAACTACGCTACCCGCTCCCGCTTGCACATAAAGACAAGGCAGAGGTTCCCCCCCCGTATAGCCTTCAACCTACTGGTTCAGATAATCGCCACCGGGTTGTTGGTGGCCGAGAGCAGGAATCGAACTCCGGCGGGACGGCTTCGTAGCACTGTGCGCCAACAGCTGCACCCCCACCCCCCCCATGCACAAAAACACGCAAACAAAAGACAAAGATCCCCCATATAGACTTAACAGACTGCAGGGGCAAGTGCTGTTAGCGAGCACCTATGAAGGCCGGAACGGTACACGAGGGAGTGGGTGGCCAGCACCACGCCCGACCGCCTTTGTCTCCCCACTGGTGATGTTTACACACCGCACCAGGTACTCATTTCGGGCTGAGTCGACCTAGGGGAGGCCCAGGACCGGTTCAGATAATCGTCACCGGTGTTGGCCGTGAGCGGGAATCGAACCCGGGTCGCCGGGTTCATAGCGCAGCGCGCTACCCGCTACACTACCGCTCCCTGCACGCTCACAGACACGCACGCACGCACGACCGCACAGAGCGGTCACAGATTCCAGTAAAAGGACAAAACAATAACCACCCAAATCCGGTGGTCATCGCGAAATAAGCGATGACTGTGCACGCGCACACACACGCACGTGTGTGAGTGTGTGTGTGGTAAGTTGTTTGGGGGGGGGGTGTGGTGGCTTTATCAGATAACGTGCCCATCTCGTCTGGTGGTCGGTGTCTGTGGTGTAACAGTGGGGGCCCCTGGGGCAAGAGAGTCACGAAAGGGACTTTATCAGATGACGAGAAGAAGCTGCTGCTGCTGCTGCTGCTGCAACATCACAGATCGGGCCAGTCGGGGGAATCTGCTATTGAGCAGTTGCAGAAACGGGGGGGGGAGGGGGGGGTGGTGGGGGGGGTGGTGGGGAGGGGGGGTGGTGGGGAGGGGGGGGGGTCGACTTGCTACCTCGGCAGTGAATGCCATGTGGGAGAAAATAAGTAGGAGTACTGTACACCACCCATCATCATCAATCATCATCATCCTACACGCACACGCCCAACAACACCCGCCAACCCCTCCCTCGTCAAGCC